TCCGCATCACGTTCCTCGACTACCTCGCCCAGTATGCCAAGTACAAGGTGTGGATCAAGCCCAACTCGGAAATGTCGTTCTTGTACGGCAACAACGTGGTCAAGTCGGGCCTTGGCCGCATTACCGAAGGCACGCCGCAGTACGCTGGCGTCGTCGTCTACAGCATGAACGACGTGCCGCTTGGCTTTGGTATCGCCGCGCAGGCCACCGAGATGTGCAAAGACCTCGACCCGACCGGCTACGTCGTCTTGCACCAGGCCGACATTGGCGAGTACCTTCGTGTGGAAGACGAAATGTTTTAAGTTATTGGCGTCCATGCGAATATATAGAATTTGTATGACTAGTCTCCTGTCTCTTTTGTGTTGTGCAGCAAGGGACGTATCCATTGATACCATGCGCGGTAGAGACGCCTTATCAAGACGCGATCCTACTTGTCGGAATCTCGCTCGCGTCGGGGATCGAGCTCTGGGCCTGGGATCAGCGCCAGGATTTGTTTGGTTGCACTTGACCTTTGCTGCGTCAACACCCGTGCTACAAGATTGTCTAAAAACACCCATATTTTGGTCATAGACACTCTTGAAGCGACGAATAACGGCAATGTCTCCCTTGCGTGTGCAAATACACTCCACGAGGCGATCGACAGAAAGGGAGGATTCCAAACTATGTCGCGTACCGTCAAGGAGAGGCCACATGCGCTTTGGTCGTGGTTTTGTAAACGCTCGAGCGGGAGAGCGGACCTGGAACCATGGGCGAGGTTGCACTTCAAAGCAATTTGGGTGAAATTAGCACCTCCAATCCACCAATCCAAAGCGTCGTCGCAACGCTTTCGCACCAATCCCCGCGCGATCTGTGTTTGGGCCAATCAAGCAAGCTGGCCTTTCCATCACGACGACGATGAACTCGAAGGAACGCCGCCCGACGCTGCTGCAGCACTGCGTCGCCGGCATCGTCGCCGGCGGCTTCAGCACGGCCGTGCTGTACCCCTTGGACCTCGTCAAGGTCCGGTACCAGGTCCACGAGCAGTCGCCGCGTGCGTACAAGTCGCTTTTGCACGCGTTCACGTCGCTCGTGAAAGGCCCCGGCGCGTCGGCGTGGCACTGGCGCGCCATGTACCAAGGCATGAGCCCGGCCTTGTACGGCACGACCATGTCGTGGGGTCTCTACTTTTACTTTTACGAGCAGGCCAAGACCATGTATTCCACGTCGTCGCTGCCGCCGTCGATCGGCCACTTTCTCTCGGGCATCCAAGCAGGTAATCGTCTTCCATCTCGCTGCATTGCGCGATCGATTTCATATTCGGTCGGTCCTAGGCGTCATGTGTGTGCCGCTGACCAACCCGATCTGGCTCATCAAGGTGCGCATGCAAGTGCAGGGCACAGCGGTGCCGTACAAGAACGTGGCCGACGCGTTCAAGCGCATCGTTGCCGAGGAAGGCGTCCGCGCCTTGTACAAGGGCGCTGTGCCAGCGCTCTTCTTGACGTCCCACGGCGCGTTCAAGGTGCAGACGCGTCGACTTGTGGTCATGGTTGACGTATGCGGATCTAGTTTGTCGCGTACGAAAAGCTCAAGTCCGAGTACACGTCGTACGTGAGCCGTGATATGGTAGACATCATTATTGTCTTTGATTGTGCGGACGCAACGGAATGTTTTTGTAGTCGATTCCCGCGTCGCTGACCATCGGAGCGCTCTCGCAAGCGTTCGCTTCGACCGCCACGTACCCATACCAAGTGATCAAAGCCCGCCTCCAGCAAGGTGGACCCGTCGCGGACAAGTACACGGGCACGTGGGACTGCACGAAGCGCATCATCAAGTACTGACGAAGCGAGCATTTCTATCGGGTCTTTTGACATGGACTGTGCGGTAGGTATGAAGGCATGCCGGGGCTCTACAAGGGCTTGACGCCCAATTTGATCAAAGTGCTTCCGAACGGCGCGCTCATCTTTGCCGTGTACGAGTATGTCTCCAAGCTGCTCATGCAATCGTCGGATTCAAACGTGAGCGTCTAAAGACGAGAAGCGCATAGTAGTAGTTGAGGAAACTATAGAATGGGATAATGCTATATGGATGTCTGCGAACCGAATATGTAATGCAAGAATGGTTGACGACAATATTGACCACGCACGAGATCCACGCACGTTTTGTTTTCGTCTCGGAGACAGGTAGTGGCCACCCAGAGCTAATACCAGACACATGCGCTTCTATTCTTGCTACCTCGCTTTAAAATATGTAGTCGCTCCCGTTGCTACCAAGACTATAGTACAGTGGTGGACAACATTAGCACTTTATAACGGTAGAGACGCGATGGTAAAGACTTGGCAAACGTCTCGTCCACAACAGCTCTTACAATCATAATTCTGCGTTTGATCCACGGCTCGTCTCAGACCTTGACGAGTGATGAGCTGGACGCTCTGCCGCCAGAGCACTGCAACAATTATCGTTGGTGTTGCAGACTGATAGATGGACTGATAGCAGGCTGGAATATAGGAGTAGGGAAAACCAATACCGACTGTATCTGCAAGGACAACGGCCAGCCGTGAACGGTCGGTTGGAACTTCAAGCCGACCGTTCCGGTCGTTGGACTCGGACACGATCTCTGCACAGACGAGCTGAGTGGACCTTGGTCGCCAACCCTGAAATTTCGTCGGTTTTTGCTGTAGCTAATGAGCGTGGATCCATCCATTGCAATATACCATATGTATGCCAAGGATAAGAACACACAACGTTTACCCAGCTGGTGGTCGCAGTCACACGGACACTCGGGCTCATTTCCGTAGCGACGTCCAAGCAAGCACGATGGCCTTCCTTGGCCTCGAGACGCTGGTGCAGAAGAGCATCTTCTGCGTCTACATTGGCCTCTGGGTGAGCTACGGCCTTCTGAACGAGTACGCCAAGCGCAGCCATATCAAGTTTCACTCGGCGACGGCGGTCGTCGCGCAGTGCATCGTCAAGCTCGTGCTCGCCGTTGGCCTCTTTATGTCGCAGGACGGGTCGCTCGCCAAGATGTTCGAGCTCTTCAAGCGCCATCCCACGCTCTTCATCTTGTACTTGATCCCATCCGGCTTGTATGCCCTCTACGACATCCTCGCGTACGTCAACCTCGCACTCTTTGACCCGCCCACGTACTTTCTGCTCTTGCAATTCCGCCTCGTCATCACGGGCCTCCTGCATCAGCGCGTCTTCCACAAGGTCCATTGCCTCCGCATTGTCGACGCGATCTCTCACATGCGATTAGACCATGAACCAGAACCAATGGCTCGCGATTCTGGCCGTGACAATTGGCTGCGTCATCAAGACAGTCGGCGACAACGCGGGCGCCGCCGAGAAGCCGATCCCGGTGTTTGCCTACGGCCTCTTGATGGTGCAAATCCTCAGCTCGACCTTTGCCGGCGTCTACAACGAAGCGCTGCTCAAGACCTACGACAAGAACTTGTCGATCCATTTCCAGAACACGATCATGTACCTCGACTCGATCGTGTTTGTGATGCTCTGCCTTGCGCTTGGCATCACTGGCGTGAGCTTTCGCGACGCGACGGATGTCAAGAACCTCGAGGCGCTCACGCACTGGCCCGTCCTCATGATGGTACACGACGACGTCCTGGACTTGAACGAATCGCATGCGTGCTAGGTGCTCATCATGTCGTTCATTGGCGTCGTCACGAGTCTCTTTCTCAAGTACCTCGACTCGGTGCGCAAGGCGATTGCCTCTGGCTTGGAGCTCGTCGTGCTCCCGATCCTCGCGTCGCTCTTGTTTGGCACCGTGCTCACCGGGTGCGTGGCATCCTCTTTTTTTTGGGAATTTTTGATGGCATTTTCGGATTGGCATAGCTACCTCGTGCTCTCCGTGGCGCTTGTGGCCGGCGGTATCTACTTGTACTCGCTGCCCGTTGCGCCAGCCCAACCGCCCCTCGCGCTGCAGAAAGACTCCAAGCTCGAGGACGTCGACGACGAGGATTCCAAGTCGGTCGTGTAAAGCAACAATCAATCGTTGGTTCAAAAGTGCGGTGTTGGTTGTGCACACACAGGCCGCGACGAGGGTCCTCTTCTCTTTCACGTTGCGTTCCAGACTTGCGTCTCGGTCCCTCAGTACGTACTGAAATCGATGGTTGGCACAATTTGCCCTGCAGTACAAGATGACGCTGCCCCTATGAATGTAGGTGCTACAGTGGTTGTGGTGGATGCAGGTCGCAGAGCTTGAAGTAGAGCTGTATTGGTAGTGCCAATACATGTTACATCTCTGCCTGAAGCGTCCAAAACGCTGGTTTGAGCGAGAGGGGCATTAATACAAAGACATGGTTTGACAAGGACTCTCCTTGTGCTTGATGTGTTTTCGCTTGCGTTCCACCGAGGGCGGTGTCCGTGGAGTGCACTCGAGCCACCTCGAGTGGTGCATATTCCAGACATGTGTGTACCATGGCTGGCACACGAATCCCGGTCCTTGCCCGCCGGGTCGGTAAGAAGCCGCTCGCGGTGCACCGAAAGTGCAATCACGCGGCAGATGTACGATGCCAAACGAAAGTGGAGGATCGCGACGTCCTTCTGGTGCAGAAGAGGCTGCTGACGTCAGCCCCAATCAAAGCATAGAAAGTGTACTTGTCCAAGGCCATATATTGAACATAGTATTGTTTCTGGTCCCACAGTAAAGTATTTTCCGTCCTTGTTCGAATAACGTGATCGCATGACGATACCGTGATCATCGTGCATGATAGTGCTACAGCTAACATGTATCAGCGTCGTGCCAACGACGAGATGAGAGTTGTCACAATCCCTTTTCCCACTTTTCCTCGACGACAACGCCACCACCCACCGCCACCATGAGCAACCTCACGTTCGCCATCATCGTCGGCTCTGTGCGCCCGACCCGCATGGGCCTCCGCGTCGGCAAGTACTTCCAAGCCAAGCTCCTCGAGAAGGCCGTCAAGAAGGTCCACCTCATTGACCCGGCGCCGCTCCAGATCCCGCTACTCGTCGACAGCTTCACGTCGCTGCCCGAGGCCGACCGCTCCGAGAGTCTCAAGACACTTCAGGCCCAGTTCGCCGAGAGTGACGCGATCATCGTCATCTCGCCCGAGTACAACCACACCTACTCGCCCGTGCTTTCCAACCTCATGGACTACTTTTACCACAACGAGTACTACTACAAGAGCGCAGGCATTGTGACCTACTCGATGGGGCCGTTCGGCGGCGTCCGCGCGCTGAGTCCACTCCGGCCATTCTTGAGCGGTCTGGGCCTGACATCGATTCCGCTCTCGGTGCCCGTGCCGTCGGTGCATGCCGTGTTGACCGAAGACGGTCAGCTGTCGGGGGACGCCAGCGGCGCGTTCTTGGAGAAGAGCAGCGAGAGCTTCGTTGCCGAGCTCACGTGGTTTGCAGACGCGCTTCAGACGGCCCGCGACAAGAGCCAAGCGTAGAAGCCGATAGTATTCCAAGGCAACTAAATCAGAGCATCCATGGTACGTTATGCGGCACGGACCATTGGTGTAGAATGATTGCATGGACGGTCCTACATGTCGCCTCGTCGCTATCGGTCGCAGCTCGACGCGTAAGTAATCAATCTGGTTTCGCATGTCCAGTGGCACAAGAGCTTGCCTTCGCGCTTGTTGATAAGAGGTTACAATGCTCAGCAATCCGAGTACTAGTATGCGGAACGCTCAACTTTGCTTCGTTTTACGACCCCCTCCTCATCGCACCGCCAAGTGTCAACGCAATCAACAGCATCCTAGAGTCTCGAGCACACGCAATATATTGTCCATAACGTCAACGCGCGATCCTTGTGACTGTCTGTCACGGATCGTCATCGTTCGATCGATCGAGGGACCCACAAAGGGACTCACACGGGCACTGCGGCTCGCTTTTTCGATGGTTCAAGTGGTTTTTTCTATGCTTGATGTCCAGACGGAGCCAAATCCACCTTGGAAGAAAGTCGACGATGGCCGGCGTTCCAGTCACCGAATGGACTTCGACGACCGTCATTACTGTTTCGAATCTCAAAATCGCGCTCACTTTCCTAAAAACCCAATTCCGCCGAGCATGAGCGCGCTCACGGTCGGTGTCATCATCGGCTCGGTGCGGCCCCACCGCATGGGTCTGCGCGTTGGCAAGTACTTTCAAGCCAAGTTGCTTCAAAAAGGCGTGCAAAAGGTCCACCTCATCGACCCGGCGCCGCTTCAAATCCCGCTGCTCATCGACCGGTACGCGGCGCTTCCTGAAGCTGATCGCACCGCTGGCCTCCGCGAGCTCCACGCCAAAATCGCTGAGAGCGACGCGTACATTGTCGTCTCCCCCGAGTACAACAACAGCTACTCGCCCGTGCTTTCCAACGTCATGGACTACTTTTACCACAACGAGTACTACTACAAGAGCGCAGGCATCGTGACGTACTCGATGGAGTACTTTGGCGGCGTCCGCGCGGCCGGCCCGCTCCGGCCCTTCTTGGGACAGCTCGGATTGACGACGATTCCGCTCACGGTGCCCGTGCCCAAGGTGCAAAATTTGCTCAGCGTCGACGGCGACGTGCTGCCGGACGCCGGGGGCAGTGGCTTCGCGTTGGAGAACGGCGCAGCAAGCTTCGTCTCGGAGCTAATGTGGTTTGCGAACGCGCTCAAGACGGCACGGGCAAAGGGCGCGCCATAGTCAACAGTCGCCAACGACCACGCTAGATATGATGTATTTTGCGTTAAAATACCACGTAATGTCAACGATATCCTCACACACTCTGTGCTTTGAGCAGAAGTAGCGAAGCAGAAGGCGTGGACCCAATCATGTCGTTGGTGGTAACACTGAACGCGCCGACAACGAATCGCGTATGCCCACGCATTTCGGCGTAGGGCTTCACCTGCAGCGTCTTAAAGATGGTTCTTGCCATGCTCCCCAAGTGTCCATGGAAACACGGTCGAGAGACAGACACACAAGAATACTTGTTCCGAATTGGGTTCTGGAAAAAAGGGACAATGTACATATCACTTTTATTGCATAAGACCACACGACTAGCCTACTTGTACCTACTCTGAATCGCGGTGCACGGACGGTGTGCCCACGCTTCGGTACGCGAGGACATAGTCGTCGGCGTTCGTCGTGGCTAAGAGAAAGCGCCGCCTTTGCCATTGCCATAGACCAATCGCGATCATCGTCGTAGTCCCTGCGAGCATGATGGCGGTCATTTGCAGCGGATTCACGTAGCGTTCCGCATCCTGCGCGAGCGCATTGTAGCAGCCATGGGGCATCTTAACCATGCTGCGCAAGCCGTAGTACCGGTACCATCGACCCGGCGCATAGTGCAATTGATAGCCCTCGACGCGGTCGCTCATGTACATGGCGCAAAAGACGCCGAACGCAGCGTCTCCTTCGCGCATAGGGCAGAGCCGCCGAAGCGCCGGCGCCAAATGCAGCGGGTCACTCGTCGCTGCCATGATGCGCTCGCACCCCGCGCACGCGGCCTCGATCCCTGCATCGATTATTTGCACAGCGTCACGGCGCGTCGCACAGTAGGCGTTCAGCGTCAGGTTGGGCGAGACGACGAGCCCCTCGAGATCCAGTGGTAATGACGCGTTGAGGGAGCTCCAGCTCGTGCGGTTTTCGTCGGCCAGACCACTGCCGGTCACGCGGAGCGGAAGGGTGTCGCAGAACACCTTGCCTTCGTGGATACAATACGCTTCGTCGATGGCGCGAGAAGGCGTCGGGCCTGGCATGGACAGCGAGACAGCGTACTGGTGGAGGTACGGGTTTCTCGTCTCATTCTGTACAGTTTGTATGGGCCGATTGACCAAGAGCTCGTGGTCCAAGAGCTCGTGGCCCGACGTGCGGAAGATGACGAGGAAGGCGATGCCATAGATCGTTGCGCTACAAATCGCGAGCACGGCGGCCAGCGGCAGCACGGACCCGTGGCGCTTGAGGCGCAGGCCGAGAACGAGGCCGACACCAGCGACAACCAGCGTGATGGCCGAGAGCGCCGTGAGGGCATCGCCGTGCACGAAGATGCTGGGCCAAAAGGCGAAACGAGCAACGAGCGTGATGAGACCGAGTGCCAAGGCGGCGGCGTCCAGCACGAGATAGACGACCACGAGGAGCCGAAGCATGGCGTTGGACACGGAATGGACACCACCCGGCCACGATGGTCCCACAGACTAAAAACACGCAACTCGGCCTGCCGCTGCACCACGTCATGGCGGCTACAGCACCAATACACTGTAGACAGCTCCAATATACTATTTAACCCGACGTCGTACACAAGTACGTAGTTTAGGTGTCTAGCGATATGTCTTGTCCACATGCCGACTGCCGGCTTCGCGACCACGTCCCTCTGATACGCCAGCAACGCGCATTGGATGCGAGAGCGTCGCATGTACATCGGATTCGCCTCATTGCTGCCTTTTGTCGCAACAAGCGACGAGTCGGACGCTTGCCGCCATAATCCGCTGTATGTAGTATACCCACGCTTCCATCGGCTCCCTGCAACGACAGCGAGCGCACTGCATTCGGAATGCAATTGATGGGGAAGGATACTTTATTGGGAATATGTCGGAGCCACGGGCGTCAAGACGTGAGACGTCCGTGTCGAGGCCCTCGGTCCTCGTACGGTCCGTGGGCGTCCACAAGAAATCAGTACTTATTGTGGGTTGTGGTCGTATATTTGTCAAAAATGGGCAAGGTCAAGCGATTACTTCCACACGTTGTGGTCAATATCGTCTTCGTTCAGCACGTCGTCGTCCGTCATGAGCTCCGACATGCCATACTTGTCCATGTACTCGTCCTCCGAGAGGTGGCCGTAGAGCCGGTGCTTGTCGTTGACCATGTTTTCCCAGTGCTTCTCGAGCTGCAGCATCTTGCGCGTTTCTACACGTGACAATATTCGCATCGATCGGATACGTGGATCCATACCTTCGGTCATGAAATGCACGACGATCGTGTTGATGTCGGCGATCATCCAGTCGTCGCAGTCGCGGCCCTCGACGACGTAGCCAAAGTCGTCTTCCATCGACCGCGCCTTCATCGAGAGGATCACCATGTCGGCCATGCGGCGCATGTGGGCGCGCGACCGACCCGTGCAGAACACCATGTGCTCGGCGAGGCTCGACTTGCCGGCCAAGTTGATCGTGTACACGTCGATGGCTTGTTCCCGCTCCAGCGCCGGAAGAAGCTCGTCCATCGTGATGTACGTGCTACCGAACGATATCAGATCCTGGGGCCATGTACAAGACGCTCGTACTTTGTGACGGGGGCAATGATGTCGGCGTGGCGCGACCCGGCGTCCGGCAGCGTCCAGTCGTAGGTCGGCGACGCCGGGTCCGCGACGTCGTCGTCGTTCGCACTGCCAGGCGCAAAGTTGAGCGGCGCCGAGTCGTCGAGGTACATGCGCACGAGCTCGTCGTAGCCCTTCGCAGCGTCTTCTTCGGTCCAGAACTCGCCGGCATCGACCTCGACCTCGCCGACTTCAAGGCTCGCACTCCACTTCTTGATGCGCGACTCGTGGAAGGTCACGCCACGGAAGCGCTCGGACGCCACGCCCACGTCCTCGACAGCGGCCTCATCAAGCTCTTCCTCTTCGTCATCTTCATCATCGTCGTCACTGTCATCACTGTCATCGTCGTCGTCGTCGTCGGTGATGGTGACCGTGGTCTCGTCGTCCGCCTTCAACATGGTGCGGGACACATGCAGGCTGCGCGTGGCCAAGCCGTGCAGAGACGACGCCATCGGCGGAAGGACGCGGGCGCGGGCCCATGCAGCCGACGGCAGCGGCTTCTTCGTAGCGAGCTGGCGGCCGACGGCCCGGCGGATGGCGGCTGATACGACGCGCATGTTCGGCAAGTTCAATTTGAGTTCATTGGTCAACCTCTCGTCGAGGCTATCCGGAAGCGCCGGATACGATGCCTTGAACGTAGTCGGCGTATTGTACCTCGTGTTTACCCGTTGAGGTAAAGTACGGCGACGGTCCTTTGCTGGCGTACTAGCCTCGTCGGTGCGCAGTTGACGCAGCACGTTTGTGTGCTGCATCACAAAGGGCACGGAGCATGTTGTTGCTGTGGTTTTAAAACCGCGCGAGTGGCGACATGGAATGCGTTTTTCGTTTAAACATATTCAACGCAGATGGTTATTACTCTGTTTTAACACAGTTTTTTTTGTGATTTCAGTGACCCGGGGCACATGTCGAATGGTCGACGTACGATGTGATATACCCCGGGGTACAGCTCGATGGATGTGCAAAAGATTTTTCCTGTCCGACGAGATGCGGTCGTCGACGGCCGTGGCCGCGGGCGCGCCGTCGCCACCTCGTCCAGCGGCGCCATCGCTGCTCATCAAGACGTCGGCCATGCAGTCGGCGCTCTTTGAGCCATCGCTTGAGGGCATCACAATCGGGTCGGGCGCGGCGAATCGGTTTTGCATCGCTTCGGATCCGTCCGTAGGTGGCAGGCAGCGACGAGGCGGCTAAGACGACGATATGTAGGTGGACGTCTACCACGCGACGCTCGAGCACACGGCGGTGCATGGCGTCTGGGTGTACGTAGACCACAGCCGCCATGGCTCGTACGACCGGGACGCGTGCCACGTGCATCGGCAGGCCGCGATCGTGAGCGACGGCGACACGTTCATGCTTGGCACGACCCAAGTGCAGATCCACTTTTACACATCCGTGCCGAGCACCGCGCGGTCCCATCCTGGGCTGCAGCATCTGGTCACGGCGCCGTCGATCGCACCCGACTACACCAACTCGCCGTTGCCCAAGCACAAGCGAGCGCAGCACCGCCCGACCGAGTTCTCATTCGACCCGCTGCATTTCCAAAAGCTCCATGCGACGTCGGTTCCGCTCGAGTATGCTGCGTCGCCGCCCGTCTCGAGCCGCCTGCACGTTGGACCGGTGGGCTCTATCGATGCATGCTGCTGCGGATGTGTGATGTGTGATCGCCCGCGTAGACTGCGGCGAGACCGGCACCGTCCAAGCGCGACGACCTACGCATCCAAGTGTCCAAGAAGATGGCGAACCTCAACCCAAAGCCTTCGGGGGTGTTGCTCTCGTCACCAACGGCGCCGCATTGCCAAGGGGCGAAAGGGCTACTCAAGGCTCCTCCACGATGCAAGCCGATGCCGACGTTCGCCTTGGACATTGAGCCGCTGCGATCGGCGACACCGTCGTCGTCGACGCGCGTCTCGTCCACGTACGACGATGATGGCATCGACGACGACGTCTTCTCGAGCGTCGACAGCAGTGCGCCGACCGAGGTCGCCAAGTACCGCGATTCGGTGCGCGTTTCCATTTCTCGTTGCCTGTTGTGCTCACATATCGACTCGCTCGGCAGTGACCACCCAAGCAGCAGCAGCAGCAGCAGTGACGAGGTCGACGCGATCGAGCCGCGCGCGCACGACCTGTATACACCCAACATTCCGCCCCGGCGTGCGCCCGACGACGACCTGGAGACGCCGCACCGCTTGATTGCTTCGCTTCGGCTCAAGCGCGTGCAGCCCAAGATCAACACGTCACCGCTGCTCTCGCCATACAAGACGGCCAAGTCGCTGCGCCACGACCCGCTGCAGTTTTACATGGAGTCGCCGCGCGAAGCGTCGTCGTACTTTGACTACAACGAGCACTAACGCGACGGCGGCGAGCTCCCACTTGCGGTTTGTCTCGCGCTGCGACGTCGCCTCCTCCTCGTCTCCTCGTCGCAGCAGCGACGGACGTGATCTGTTGGCGGTTTTCCCATAATTTGCGTCTTCTCAATGACAAATTTTGTCAACGGAATGGCATCGAAGCGGTTGCCGTACGGCTCAACCAGCTGGGATTGGACGTTGGGCCATCGCCACGAGGCGGCGTCACACGGCCAGCTCCGTGACAGCTCGCATGTTCGCTGCGACATCGCGCGACGTAGCCAAGAGAAAAGAGCGCGAACGGCAGACAAATACTGGCAATAAGCTCTGAGATCATGGTACAGATTACAAATACTTCATACATTAGCTCTAGAACTCGACTCGACGAGAGCCTGCGACAAGAGGAAGCAGCTTCCTCCCATCCTGGTCGTCGCTTCCTCCAGTCCCACGGCGAAAGATCGCGCTTCTTTTTATGGCGCCGGTTTGGGTTCCTAAAAATATTTTACTGAAATATTTCTGAATACTTGATGTTTGTATGAAACATGGCCTTCCGCGGCATTAAATGGACGCTTTGCGGCCGTTTCAGGCCTGTAGCCAATCCAATCGCGTGGGAGATCCAAGGTCGGTTTTCATTGGTCGGCGGCACACACCGTTTTTGCACTCAACTTGAAGCTCATTGCGTTTCACTATACCAGACCGTTTTCCACCTACGGTTTGTATACAGATACAACACACAAGATATGGCGTCGCAGGAGCCGAGCATACAAACGGTAGGTGCAAAGCGGTTGCAAAAAAGCCCATTTGAATGGATTGCATTTTATTATTATGACGCGACGTCACAGGCCGTCGGGTCATTTGCGCATTTTGGTCGACGTCGCTGCCTCCTCTGCCACCGTCCTCGCCGTCGACGCCAGCTGCTACCGTGACTCTCGCCTGCGACCCTAGCTCCATCGCTTCGTCGCTGCCCATTCACCATACCGCCGTCGACTCCCAGCATGCAGTGCTCTGGCCAAGGCTCTTGTGAAACCATTATGGCATCCAAGTCGAGCCCGCCCAAGAGCATGGCGAGCGACAACCAGCTCGACGAAGCGAGCGCCGTCCATAGCGCGATCAGCGCCGTCGAGATTGAAGACTCACACCACGATATCCAGCCGATGGTCGCGAACGAGCAGACGCTGCGCAAGGAGCGCAAGCGCTGCAAGAGCCTCGAGCTCGTCTACAGCGACGACGAAGCGTCCACCGCCACGTCGACCGTCTCGCTCGTCACGACGCCGCTTAGCAGCACGAAGAAGGGCACCTGTGTTGTCCAGACGCGCTGCACGAGCTACGAAAAGCTGTGCCTCTGCGAAGTCAAGCAACACCGGTCGGCGTCGTCGTGCTGGCTCGTCGCCAACGGCATCGTGTACGACGTGACCGACGTCATGGCCCAGCACCCGCCGGCATCAAGTGCATCCTCCGCAAGTCGGGCGGCGTCGACTGCGCGCAGGACATGAAGTTTCACTCGAAAGCGGCCCAAAACTGCTGGTCGAAATGCAAAATTGGCATGTTGCAGCCGTGTGGCGACGTGCCCGAAGCCAACGACTCTGCCTGCGCCATTATGTAACCCGGCCAAGCCTATTTATTCTCCGCCTAGTTGTTAGTGTAGCCACTGTCCCGTCGTGATGATGGCCCCCTATTCTAAATTTATTTCTACTTCCGACTTCTTGCCATGCTTTTATCTGTCCATGGATACAACCAAGCACAACGACGTGATTGCAGGCAGTACGACAACAAGCAGACTTGGGTCCGAGCAAGGGCGTTCGATCCGCGCTTGGGCATCAGGCCCTCGAGCACATGACGCTGCGGCCGCCTGCAAGGGGAATGGCTGCCTTTCTGGCGTCCGACACAGCGATGCAAGCATACACGAGGTGGAGACAAGCAAGACAGGCTCATTGTACATGGTTACCACTGGACGCAAATGCGCGGCTGTATCCATGCGCCTTCTGCACGTCGTCTAGGTGAACTGCTTCATAAACTCGGTCGCGACGACGCGGCCACGGGCGTTGAGGTTGATCTTCATCTCGCTGATCTCCTTGTCAATGTCTTCCATAAACTGGATGATAAAGTCCACGAGCTTGTGCTTGTACAGATTCTCCAAGTGGCTGTGCGTGATGAGGAAGCTCATGTCATAGCCCTAGCCATCGCATAGAGGCTCGTTGGCATCGTCATCTCGTACCTCGATGGGTTTGCGGCGAAGGATGATGAATTGCTCGGCGCGTTGCATGAGGAAGCGCGAGAACTTGTGGCACAAGATGCTCTCGATCTCGTCGGCTTGCTTGATGCAGATCGAGACGCGCGCCGAGTTGATGCTGGGCTCAATGCAGCACTTTTCGTTTTCGTTGCGGCAAATCACAATCGGCGTCAAGATGAGCTCCTTGCTCATGCGCACCTCGACCTCGGGCTTGTTGTGGCGCTCAACGACCTGCGACGGGAAGTTTTGCAGGCAGAGCGCGCCGTCCAGCGTCGCGCGGATCGCATTCAGGTACGGCGCCAGCGTGTTCGCCTACAGAGGCCATGCCATGAGCCATCGCCATCGACGGCGTCGCACCATGGCAGCAGCAGCGGCGAAGTCGGCGAAACAAAGATTAGGTTGCCAGCCGCAGGCGACTAATACCTTGAAACTTGATAAGAGTATTCATTTCAAGAGAAGACCAAGATATATGTATTTAGTGTATGCATTTAGATGGCGCATATATAAATAGTGTGATAGCGGCACGGTCCACGCCACGGGCCGTACTGCATGGCTAGTGCCATACGACGTGTCCATGACGCCATCATGCCTACATGTATCGTATCCTGCCATAGCGCCAATGTGGAGAGACGGAAGAAACGATGCGCCATGGATGCGGAAGTCATCGGTGTGACTTACTTACACTATTCATGTTCTTTTATCACAGTATTTGAAGATTAAGATCTGGGAATACTGTCACAATTATTTCCACGCGTCGCCTCAGCATGTCCGTGGTCGGTTGCCATGCTTGCGAGGAAGGATGATCGCCTCATGCAACATGACCTTCCATTAGATCTGCATTGGGCCCGTGTGCATCCCGATCTACTCGCTGCTGCCGTTCTTGCTGCTCTTCCTGCAGCGGTGCTGGGGCTGGCTCACCGGGAAGGCCAAGGTCGAGGACGAAGCTCCCGCGACCGACGGCGCCGGCGCGACCGCGGCCGATGGCTCATCCACGCTGCGTCAGCGCAAGGCGGGCCGTCCAACGTGATCACCATGACCTCCACGGAGCACTGGAAGGAGCACTTGGCCATGACGTCCGAGCGCCCGGTAGTACATCCATGCCGTCGCACCCAGGGTCGCTCATGTCCTTCCTTCCTGTTAGCTCATCGTCGACTTTACAGCCACGTGGTGTGGCCCGTGCAAGAAGATTGCGCCGTTCTTTGCCGAGCTCAGCGGGCGATATCCGCGCGGTATCTTTGTCAAGGTCGACGTCGACGAGCTGGACGTACGCAGTCATGCATGGAGAAAGAAGCTCACGCATGCAATAGGACGTCATGAGCAACTGCGGCGTCCGCGCCATGCCCACGTTCCAGGTTTACAAGTACCAGAAGAAGGCCGACGAGCTTGTTGGTGCCAACCCCGCCGAGCTTGAGCGCCTCGTTGCCCGCCACTGCAGCTAATCGACTTATTGCTGCCGACGTCGCATCAAGGCCATGTACTATGTAGTATGACTTTAATAGCAGCGTCTCTACGAATCGTCTGCTACACACCTT